TTAATTAAGGAATGTACCTTAAATTACAGGGGCCTTAAAGGGATCTATGAGGGTTTAGGGTTTAGGGTTTAGGAATATACCTTAAGTTATAGTAGGGTCCCTAATATGATTTAAGGTATATTCCTTAATTAAGGGTTATTGGAGTCTCTGGGCAGCAAAGCCAAAGATGCAGCAACCGTTGTGCCAGTACGGATCCCTAAGAAAGAAGCCCCCTTGCCCCTTGATGAGGACCTCAAATTTCTCATAAACTCCAGGAGCCCTATATTTCCTTCCTTCAAGTTATCGTCCTCGTGGCGTTGGCGACTTCCTTGGCACTGGCCTTGCCATTGCTGCGCGCAGCTGCCGTGGCTTCCTTAGGCTTTTTTTCATCAAAGAGGGCCCCAAAGCCTGGAAAGCCCGATTCTGCAGCTCTTGGGCGCTTCTCCGGCACTAAAGACGACGATGACTTCTATTTTACAATTCCTTCCCCTCTTCCTCGTCTTCCTGCTTCTACTACAGTTTCTGCTGCTACAACCACCGCTACCACCGCCATCTCTGATATACTTCTTGCCCTGGCATCCCACCACAGTTCACAGTGCGTTCTCCGCCTTCCTTACAGCCGCGCCACGGAGGCAATCTGTGCCTTGCTGCCGTCATCCTTCACTTTGCGCTTGGCTTCGGCTGTCGCCACGGCCTGCTGCCATGGGCCCCGAGGCCCTCCCCTGTTTTTTTTTTGGGGGGGGGGGATGAGGGCCTTTAGGGTCACGGGGGTCATGCCTTGCTGCTGAAAGATTTTGAGTTAGTAGGACCTGTAGGGCTAAACTTTGGGTTTTTGAGGGGTTCAGGCTCTCATCTCAGCCGCTCCGGGACCTTGTAGACTGCGGTCGCCGTGTCGGTCGCTTCCGCATATGCCTGGCAGAGCAAAGTGTCGGATTCAGGCCTTCGGGCAGAGATTGCACCATGAAGCCACCGCGCTCAGACAAATATCGGCCACTGGACAAGACGTTTGCAATGTGTCAATAATGACCAAGCAGCAGATATGCTAGACCCTACAACTGCGAAGCCCTAAACCCCAAATTCAAACCCGAATCCTCAAGGACAGAAAGCCGAAAACAATCGCCTTGAAAATTCCCTTCAAAACTACACCCTTGCCCCATACAATGCTCTCAGAGCCCTGTCAACAACCCCAAGCAACGACAACGGACACCGCGATACTAACCTAAGGCAAATCACTACAAATCTCCATAAAGATGTCGAGCCAAAAACAGCTGCTTTTCCATGTCCAAGCTGCACAGGCACCCTTTGAAGGTCTGCAGAAACCGAACAAAATTGACCGAAAGAACACTCAGGAGCTCGAAGAACTCATAAGACTTCCCTGAACCCTAACTAACCCCTCGACCCCTAAACCCGAACGCCACCCCAAAATCGCCGTCTTCCGTTCCTAAACCCTAAACCCTAAACCCTAAACCCTAAACCCTAAACCCTAAACCCTAAACCCTAAACCCTAAACCCTAAACCCTAAACCCAAACGCCCCGGGCCCCCGGGTGCCGTGTAGGTGGCTTCTGCTGCCGCCGTGGCGTTGTAGCTGGCGTTGGCTTCGGCCTGCGCCTGGGAACGCGGTCAAAATGCTGGTTTAAGGGTTTGGGGTTTTAGGGTTTAGGATTTAGGGTTTAGGATTCAGGGTTTAGGGGTGAGGGTTTAGGGGTTTAGGGTGTGTAGACAGTGTG